TGTCACACGGGAATTTCCCACGGGGTAGCTTCTCCTCTTCGTCGCATGCCCCAACACAGAGGCTGAAGGGTAATCGCCGCCCCTACCCGCACTCGGCCTTCGTCGCCAGTAGCAGAAGTAGAACACGGCAACCCCAACAATCAAGAAAGCGATGCATCCAATGACAATCCCGGCAATGACTCCAGCGGACATTCCTGTGGTCGACTCATCATCATCATCCTCCGGCGAAAAACCCCCCGGCGAAAAATCCTCCGACGAATAATCCTCCGGCGAATAATCCTCCGACGAATCGAACATCTGTGTGTAGGTGCGTCCTCCGATTGTTATGTTGGCTGCGATGAAGCAGAACCTAACATGCTGAACAAGCAATCCCCTGTTGGTGAGATCCAGAAACACGGACGGTGACCACGGCAACTTACTCTTCTCGCACAGACGAGGCCGGACAGACACGGAATCACATCTGTCACTCAGGGGCACAGCGCACACAGTGTACGCCTCTCTGCGCCACTCGAGGTCACCACCACTGACATCAACCTTAACAGTGCTGTTGTCCGTGTCAGCAGTTATCTTGAAGGCAAAGGGTTTCTGCAGCACCGTCACCGGCAGCGCGGCGGGAGCAGTGTACTCTCCATAATCATCATCGACACACACAGCGTACACGCCAGGTGCTGCAGACAGCACACGTTCGTCGGACAGGTACACCCGCGACGAGACGGAGGTGTTAACACACACATCAAGGTGCACCACATCTTCCCCACTGTCAGTAGTCACAAGGGGGCAGTTGTTGTCAGGGCACAGCACCAGGAACACACGCCTCGACTCATTTACCACAGATTCCGCATCCTGCAGCACGACATTTCTGTCTGTACCAGCTGTCAAGTACAGCGGCGTGGCCATCAACATCTGCACCTCAAGAGAATTCAAATCCCACGGAAGGTATTGGCCATTCCAGCCATTTGACGTCACACAGAGCGAGTAGATGCCTGGAGGGGGAAGATGAGCGGGTGGCAGCATTCTGTGACACCCCAAAGCGCCAGTGCAGGTTGTTGTAGTGTACTGGCAGCCATCGAAAGAACGCACCAGCATGTAGTCGGAAGCCATGGTGCCACTCGGGAGATTGGGTGCCCACGAGACACCCATACCGTAATACGGATAGAGTGTAGTAAAATTCGCCTGGGTCGCACGGATGTCCAAGAAGTCCATGCTCCTATTGGTCGTCGTAGGAACGTTTGTTGCTTCAACTTCAGAAAACGATGTGAATATCAATTCCCAACGTCCTGAAGGCGCCCCACGATCAGGCACGAATGTAATGGTATTGGTTCCCTCGACAAGAGTCGCCGGCCAGCCAGGGATGAGGTCTCCTTTATGATAGTACGATGCGGAGAGGTTCAAGCCACTCAGTGCTTCGTCATTGTTAACTTCGCAGGTGTATGGGAGGGCTGAAGGACTGAGTATTACGCTGGGAAAGCAGTTCGTGAGTGTCACCAAGGAATCGTCGTCGGCTGCAGGTGTGGTCATTCTCGTTTGGGGGATCATGTCCCCACCAGCCGCAGCGGCACAGCGAAGAAACGGTTCAGCCACAACCATCAGTACCAGAAACAACACCTGGATGTCTCTCAACTGCAGCCCCATAGATGCCAGCAGTCTCGTCTTCCTTCTGCCTCGACGTAGGATTGAAACAGGTTCACAGAGGCCCATGGCACCGAGAATGCAACTGCCAATGCTCTTTGGTATCTTGCAACACCGTAGATTTGTCAATTGCGATTTCCCTCTCGTGTGCTTCATGTTCATCGATTGCTTGAATAGATAATAGTTCTACTAGCAGCTGCTTGTCTTGATTCAGAAATAAAAACAGAAGCAAAACACGGCAAACAGCATACAGAGCACAGACAATCAGTAACAGAAGAACTTGTATAGTGGACATTTCTCCATGCTTCTTCTCTCAGCATACATATCTGATTCCTGGTTAAATCACCGTATATTATCCGTACTTTTACTGCATACTTCTATGGGGCTTCTTACTTTCCCCCCTACACCTCAGAAGAGCCACTACACAGCTGCCTCAATGCACTTCACACCAGCAATCCCCTCTTTGTCTATTGCCCCACTCCAAAATAAACCTCAGGTGGCCAGCATGCCCTGAACGCGTGTCGGCGACGCTTGCGTCACCCGT